TTCTGTCACAATCACATGAGCTTAGATGAGGAACACAAACTCCTCATGAGAATGCAGGCCAAATACCACCATGTTTTTAGCCTTTAGTGAGACCATGAGCAGAGAAGTCAGTCACGTGGTACCTGGATTCTTACCTACAGAACTGTGAGCTAATAATTGTGTGCTATGTTAAACTGCTAAATTTTTCATAATTTGTTACACATCAATAAAAAACTAATACAAACCCTAACCAGGCTAAGTCACCTAGTTTTATTTAGAAGACCCCGGAGAAGTTCCTAAATCCTACTTCAGGACATACAGCTAACACTGAGGACATACAACATTAGGAAAGCAAAGAAGGCCGTTATTACATTAGGCCTTGCAGAAAGGACACCTAAAACATTTTAGAGCTCATTAGCCATGGGGTGATGGGGTGACTAGGAGACAAATGGCATAAAAATACCATGTATTCTTACCAGGAGAAAGAAGACTTCTCTGGCTTCAGTACCTTTAATTATGAAACGAGAACGTGGGATTTAGGTAACCTTTAAGGGCTCTTTTAGCACATTCTACAATCCTTGTAAAGATACAGTCCTATCTTTTTGATAGACTTCAGAGGAACCTTGGCATTCACCCAGATCCTACAAATGCTCCGACCCCCCTAGTTTCTTATAAAGTACCGCATCAGAAAGGAAATGATCCCCTAAGATCCAAAGCTTTCATACCCCCATTTGGCTAAGGGGTCTTTATCATATACCAAAATACCTAACTGAACTAACGCGAGGCTTTCTTCTCACATAAAAGCTCCTTTAATATCTTTTAAAAGATCATTTTTTAAAATATCATTTTTAAAACTTCAAGTGTATGTACACGTGCATGTGGGGAGCACACAAGGACATCTACATAAAGTAGTAACGCTAACAAATAAAGAAATGGTTTTATGCTCTGAGAGTAACTTTTTATTCCCAATGCAAATCCTAGTGAAAAAAATTATACATTAAGTATAAATTAAAAACCAAATATGTTGCTGTGGAGTTGATTCTGATTTATAGCAACCCAACATTACTGAGCAGAACCACCCCATACAGTCTCCAAGGAGCGGATAGTGAATATGAACTGCTGACCTTCTGGCTAATAGCCGAGGTCTTAACCACTGCGCCACCAGGGCTCCAAGTATAAATTGGTGGTGGTGTTAGGTGCCGTCGAGTTGGTTCCAACTCATAGCTACCCTATGTACGACAGAAAGAAAAACTGCCTGGTCCTACGCCATCCTCACAATAGTAAGTATGTTTCAGCCCATTGTTGCAGCCACTGTGTCAATCCATCTCGTTGAGGGTCTTCCTCTTTTTTGCTGACCCTCTACTTTACCAAGCATGATGTCCTCCAGGGACTGATCCCCCCTGATAACACGTCCAAAGTATGTGAAATACAGTCTCGCCATCCTTGCTTCTAAGGAGCTTTCTGGTTGTACTTTTTCCAAGACAGATTTGTTTCTTCTTTTGGTATATTCAATATTCTTTGCCAACACTGCAATTCAAAGGTGTCAATTCTTCTTTGGTCTTCCTTATTCATTGACCAGCTCTCGCAAGCATTTTATGCAACTGAAAATACCACGGCTGCGTCAGGCGCACCTCGGTCTTCAAGGGGACATCGTTGCCTTTCAACACTTTAAAGAGGTCCTTTACAGCAGATTCGCCCAATGGAGTGCATTTTTTGATTTCTTGACTGTTGCTTCCATGGGTGTTGATTGTGGATTCAAGTAAAATGAAATCCTTGACGTCAATCTTTTCTCCGTTTATCGTAATGTTCCTTATTGGTCCAGTTGTGAGCATTTCTGCTTTCTTTATGTTGAGGTATAACCCATACTGAAGGCTATAGTCTTTGGTCTTCATCAGTAAGTGCTTGAAGTCCTCTTCACTTTCAGCAAGCAAGGTTGTGTCGTCTGCATAACACAGGCTGTTAATGAGTCTTCCTCCAATTCTGATGCCCCGTTCTTCTTCATATAGTCCAGCTTCTCTGATTATTTTGCTCAGCATGTAGATTGAACAGGTATGATGAAAGGATACAACCCTGACGCAAACCTTTCCTGACTTTAAACCATGCAGTATCCTCTTGTTCTGTTCGAAAGACTGCCTCTTGATCTATGTACAGGTTCCTCATGAACACAATTAAGTGTTCTGGAATTCCTATTCTTCGCAATGCTACCCATAATTTGTTATGATCCACACAGTTGAATACCTTTGCACAGTCAGTAAAACACAGGTAAACATCTTTCTGGTATTTTCTCCTTTCAGCCAGGATCCATCTGACATTAGCAATGATATCCCTGGTTCCATGTCCTCTTCTGAATCTGGCCTGAATTTCTGGCAGTTCCTTGTTGATATACTGCTGCAGTCACTTTTGAATGATCTTCAGAAAAATTTTACTTGCAAGCGATATTAATGATATTGTTCGATAATTTCCGCATTCGACTGGATCACCTTTCTTTGGAATAGGCATAAATATGGATCTCTTCCAGTTGGTTGGACAGGTAGCTGTCTTCCGAATTTCTTGGCATAGATGAGTGAGCATTTCCAGCGCTGCATCTGTTTGTTGAAACATATCAACTGATGTTCTGTCAATTCCTGGAGACTTGTTTTTCACCAATGCCTTCAGTGCAGCTTGGACTTCTTCCCTCAATACCATCGGTTCCTGATTATATACTACCTCTTGAAATGGTTGAATGTCACCCAATTCTTTTTGGTATAATGACTCTGTGTATTCTTTCCATCTTCTTTTGATGCTTCCTGCATCATTTAATATTTTTCCCATAGAATCCTTCACTATTGCAACTTGAGTCTTGAATTTTTTCTTCAGTTCTTTCAGCTTGAGAAATGTTGAGCGTGTTCTTCCCTTTTGGTTTTCTATCTCCGGCTCTTTGTGCATGTCATTACCATACTTTACTTTGTCTTCTTGAGCCACCCTTTGAAATCTTCTGTTCAGTTCTTTAAGACTTCATCATTTCTTCCTTTTGATTTAGCTACTCGACGTTCAAGAGCAAGTTTCAGAGTCTCTTCTGACATCCATTTTGGTCTTTCCTTTCTTTCCTGTCTTTTTAATGACCTCTTGCTTTCTTCATGTATGATGTCCTTGATGTCATTCCACAACTTGTCTGGTCTTCGGTCATTAGTGTTCAATGCGTCAAATCTATTCTTGAAATGGTCTCTAAATTCAGGTGGGATATACTCAAGATCGTACTTTGGCTCTCATGAACTTGCTCCAATTTGCTTCAGTTTCAACTTGAACTTGCATATGAGTAATTGTCAGTCTGTTCCGTAGTCAGCCCCTTGCCTTGTTCTGACTGATGATATTGAGCTTTTCCACTGTCTCTTTCCACAGATGTAGCTGATTTGATTCCTGTGTATTCCACCCAGTGAGGTCTATGTGTACAGCCGCTGTTTATATTAGTGACAAAAGGTATTTGCAATGAAGAAGTCATTGGTCTTGCAAAATTCTATTATGCGATCTCCGGCATCATTTCTAACACCAAGGCCATATTTTCCAACTACCGAGCCCTTTTTATTTTCAACTTTTGCATTCCAATCACCAGTAATTATCAATACATCCTGATTGCATGTTCAGTTAATTTCAGACTGCAGAAGTTGGTAAAAATCTTCAATTTCTTTATGTGTGGCTTAGTGGTTGCTGCATAAGTTTGAACAGTCGTATTAACTGGTCTTCCTTGTAGACATATGGATATTATTTTGTCACTGATAGCGTTGTACTGCAGGATAGATCTTGAAATGTTCTTTTTGACGATGAATGTAACGTCATTCCTCTTCAAATTGTTATTCCCGGTATATTAGATCATATGACTGTCCGATTCAAAATGGCCAATACCAGTCCATTTCAGCTCACTAATGCCTAGGATATCAATGTTTAGGCGTTCCACTGTTCGTGACAATTTCCAATTTTCCTAAATTCATACTTCGTACATTCCATGTTCTGATTATTAATGGATGTTTGCAGTTGTTTCTTCTCATTTTGAGTCATGCCACATCAGCAAATGAAAGTCCCCAAAGCTTGACTCCATCCACGTCATTAAGGTCAATTCTACTTTGAGGCGGCAGCTCTACCCCAGTTGTCTTTTGAGTGTCTTCCAACCTGGGGGGCTCATCTTCTGGCACTGTATCAGACAATGTTCTGCTGCTATTCATAAGGTTTTAACTGGCTAGTTCTTTTCAGAAGTAGACTTCCGGGTCCTTCTTCGTAGTCTGTCTTAGTCTGAAAGCTCAGCTAAAACCTGTTCGCTGTGGGTAACCCTGCTGGTATCTGAATACTGGTGGCATAGCTTCCAGCATCACAGCAACATGCAAGCCCCCACAATAGCGTAAACTGACAAACACTTCGGAGAAGTATAAATTAGGTACTTTTAAATTAGTGAACTCCTTTATTAAACTATGACCTGGGAAGAAAATGGTAGCAATAATTTGAAATAGTTAATTTTTCACCTACACAACTTAATGTAATGCCATAGCCGAAATAACTTCTTATAAAATAGAATCCATGGTCATTTCTATTCTAAAATTATTTTAAAAGCAACTGTTAGGGCCATGACTTCTAGAATGTTATTGATAATAACTTGAGTCTAACTAATACTAAACAGCCAGAAATTTACTTTAATAATCTAGATGAGAATGTTGAAAACTTGTCCAGAATAAATCAGATGAAACAAAGAATCTCAGAATTTCAATTATCTATAGAAATATACTGAAAGTCTGAAATAACCATGGGGGAGAAGAAATTGATAGTTACAAAATAGTTTCATTAATACTAAACCATAACAATAAACACACAGGCCAAGATTTTTCTTTGTTCTTTTAATTTCCTTTAGTTTAAGGTCCTTCAGCATCCTCTAAACGAAAAACTTGATTAGAAAGCAAATTGACAAAAAATAAAAAATAAAAAACCTGACACAATCAAATGATCCAGTCCTTGATTTTACAAAACTCCCAAGGGTCCCAAAGTATGTTCTTTCTTACCTTGTCTATCCTATCTGGGCGGTTAGTAGCTGCCAAAATGGTCACGTCCTTTAGCTGTTCAATCCCATCCATTTCTGTTAAGAGCTGAGCCAAAACACGGTCTGCTACATTCCCGGCACCTGAAGAACTAATTTTTTAAAATACAGTTTTAAAATCTGTTTACCTATTCCAAAATACTGCATTTTTATTATTTTTAAAAGGCTACATATTCAATAACAAGAAAATCAACGTTGGTTTCAAAATATAAAATGCTTGTTTCAGAATTCATTACTTACTGAATTATCATATCTAAAATAAAAAGCTCCCCCAAAACTAATCATTTCAAATCATTTCTTCTCCCGCATCATCATTCTTGTTTATCTTCTCTCTAATACGGAAATGCTGTGATGCATATCAGATATAAAAGTTCTGGGAAGCAATATATAAGATTATTTAACGTGGCTCATCAAATACATAGAGAATTATTTAATTTAATCAATATTTACATTCTACATGACAAGTATACTGATAGAAATTGGGAATAAAAAAACTGAGTAACTTACAAACCGTTTACAAATGAAGCTTAGAGCTTATTAAAACGAATGTATGTGAAACAAACAACTCTTAACACACCCTTAACAAGCATTTCTGATGTTTCTCAACATTTTTAAATATTAAGAATTTTTTAAAGCCAATCAGGAGATAAGTAGTCACCAAAATCCCTATTTCACATTTTCCTGGAAATGGGCAAAGAGAGCATATTATTATCTCCCTTTTGTTCATGTACCATGTCAATTACAAAGTCACTAGTGGACACACTTGCTACGGATGGAATTGTGTCCTCCCCCCAAAAAAATGTGTCAACTTGGCTAGGCCATGTTTCCCAGCATTGTGTGATTGTCCATCATTTTGTCATTTGATGTGATTTTCCTATGTGTTGTAAATCCTACCTCTATGATGTTAATGAGGCAGTATTAGCGGAAGTTATGGTAATGAGGCAGGACTCAACCTACAAGATTAGGTTGTGTCTTAAGTCAATCTCTTTTGAGAAATTAAAGAGAGAAGTGAGCAGAGAGACGTGGGGGACCTCATACCCCCAAGAAAGTACTGTCAGGAGCAGAGCATGTCCTTTGGACCTGGGGTCCATGCACTGAAAAGCTCCTAGACCAGGGGAATATTGATGACAAAGACGTTCCTCCAGAACTGACAGACAGAGAAAGCCTTCCTCTGGAGCTGGCACCCTGAAATCAGACTTCTAGCCTCCTAAACTGTAAAAAAACAAACTTCTGTTTGTTAAAGCCATCCATTTGTGGTATTTCTGTTATAGCAGCACTAGATAACTAAGACAACACTACACCTTAAATTAATATCTTTTCCTTTCTCCAAAAAAAAATGCCTGAATTTTGATTTGTAAGAAGTAAACTTAACAGATCCTCCTGGCAGAAAAAACAAAAGAACACAAAACCCTGATACCACACAGTCAAGACTTCCCAGAATTATAACAATTCTTATTAGTGGTAATAGCTGAGATTTACTTAGATCTACTCAGAATTGAGATATATATCATAAACACCTGGGCGGACAATTATATCGTGAAATAGCATTGTAAGTGCATTAAATGTATACGAATTCAGCCAGATGCACTTGATGGGGTGAGGAAAGAGAGGGAAAGAGGATGCAAGGGTCACACACCATACCTTTGCCTTAACACCCATGACAGAGCAAGAGCACCTTAGCATAATCACCATGTAACAGACCTAGTAATAAGGTAATCAAGTTCTCTAAATAACAGAATTTAGACCTAAATATGCATTACAAGTTCAAAAACTATATGAACTTTAAAACGGTTAAAATGATTGGGGGAGGGAGGAAGAAATACATAGTGTCTCTCCCACCAGATCAACGGGCAGGTTTGCTCATAACCTAGAAGCTAGACATAACATCTCCCTCAGGGGCAGAAGGCAGTCAAGCTTACTGTCCATTATAGAAGATTCACCAAGCTCAGGATATAACCTACAGTTAAAAGAAAGAGTCCTTATAAAGATATGGAACAACTGAAGAAAGTCCAAGACATATTATCAATGAAAACATAACATATATATCCCTAGAAAACCAAAAGGGAAGAATATGCTTGGCATTTCTCAAACTTAAAGAACTGAAGACAAAATTTAAGCCCTAGAATGGCAATACTAGAAGGATTCTGTGGGCAAAAAATTCAATGATGCAGGAAGCATCAAAAAAAGATGGAAGGAATATGCAGTCATTGTAAAAAAAAGAATTGTTCGCACCAAAGAGGACATTTAAGCAGCAAACAAACACATGAAAGGGATGCTTGCGATCATTAGCCATCAAAGAGATGCAAATCGAAACTACAATGAGATATCAACTCACCTCTGCAAAAATGGTACTGATGAAAAAAAAAACAGAAAACAACAAATACTGACAAGGTTGTGGAGAGGTTGGAACCCTCATCCACTGCTGGTGGGAATGCAAAATGGTACAACACTATGGAAAACAGTATGGTGCCTCCTCGAAAAGCTAGAAATAAAATACACTATGATCCAGCAATCCCACTTCTAGATATATATCCTAGAGGTCTAATAGCAGCAACAAGAATAGACATTTGCACACCTATGTTCACTGCAGCATTATTTACAACAGCAAAAAGACTGAAACAACTTAAGTGCCCATCAGCGGATGACAGGATAAACAAATTGTGGGATATATACAATGAAATACTACGCAGCTATGAAGAATAATGATGAGTCCCCGAAATATAACATGGATGAAACTGAGGGACATTATGTGGAGTGAAATAAGTCAAGCACAAAAGGACAAATATTATATGATCCCACTTTTATAAAAAGACCCCCCCCCAAAAAAAAAACCAGGCATACACGTGGAAATCAATGTTCTTTGGTGGTTACCAGGGATGAGAGGGATAGGGAGGGGGAATCACTCTCTAGACAGTTGACACTTGTTGGTTTTGGTGATGGGAAAGGCAACACTGAATGTTGGTGAAGTGAACACAACCTAACGAAAGTAAAGGATGACACTAAGAAATAAGGGACATTATTGATAAATGCTATAGCACATACAATTTGGCAACAGCTAACAACCAAAAACTACATGAGTAGTTACATAGATATGTATGCATAAATGTGTACGAGAAAGTGTATGTGTGTATATATGTGAGCATATATAGGTGTATCTGTAAGCATATCCACAGACATGTCTGGGAGCACTGCACATATATTTATACATATAATAAAGCATATAGAAGGTTCAGTCACAGAAAGCTCCCAGACATAACCACATACCTCACAGGATTGGTTTACTGGATTTGAAGGCTTCGGACCAAGTCTCATAGGACATCTTGGTCAATTACCACAATACAGTCTATAAAGTTTATGTTCTACATCTTAGTTTGCTAAGTACATAGTGTCGAAGGTCTTTAAAGCTTGCAAATAGCCATCTAAGATGCAACTATTGATCTCTATTTGTCTGCAGCAAAAGAGAAAGAATTAAACCAAAACTCAAAGAAGAAATCAGGCTACAGGACCTCACCTATCCAGAGACTAGTAAGAATTAGATGCTACCTGGCTACAATAGATGGTCCTGGATAGAATGGGAGAAAACTATAGAATACAATTCAAATTCTTAAAAAAAAAAAAAAGGCGAGACTTACCGGACTGGTAGAGACCTGGGGAACCCCAGAGACTGTCTCCCAGAGATACCCTTTAAAATCTGAATTGAAACTATTTCCGGAGGTCACCTTTCAACTAAATAACAGATTGGCTAATTAACAATATCACCGGTAAGTACTGTGCTCCTTTTATGTATTTTTTTAAAAAATCATCTATTTGTAACCAAATGGTCAACATTTACCCTAAAACAAAGATGAGAAGGTCAGGGGGACAAGGAAGCAAGAATAATGGAAACAGAACAACTAGAATGGAAATAATAAGAAAGTTGGAAAATGTAACCAATGTCACTGAATAATAAGTGTAGAAACTATTCAATGGGAACTGGGAACCTAATTTGCTGTATAAACTTTCACCAAAATCTCAATTACATATTTAAAAAAAAAAAAAACTGGTCAATATTCAACCACTTCAGGATGTAGTATATGATCAAGAACTGCTGATACTGAAGGAAGACATTCAAGCTACACTGAAGATATTGGGAAAAAACAAGGCTCCAGGAACTGATGAAATAAAAATTGAGATGCATCAACAAATAGATGCAACCCTAGCAGCCCTTATTCATCTATGTCAAAAAATTAGGAAAAGTAGGAGAGATTCATACATATGTATATGTGCCCACTCCAAAGAAAGGTGATCAAATGGAATGAGAAAATTATTGAACAATATCATTAATATCATTTGCTAGGAAAATTTTGCTGAGGATAATTCAAAACCAACTGCAGCCATGCATCAATGGGGAACTGTCAAAATTCAAGCCAGATTCAGGAGAGGACAAGGAATGATGGATATCATTACTGATATCAGATAGATCTTGGCCGAAAGCAGAATAATAAACAAGTCAATCTTAGAAGAAATACAACCAGAATGCTCCTTAGAAGCGAGGATAATGAGGCTTCATCTTCCAATCACTAGAAAATGGCATCCTGTTTGGTAAAGTGGAGAATCAGCAAAAATGAAGGAAACCCTCCATGAGATGAATTGATGCAATAGTCTCAACAATGGGCTCAAAGATATCAAAATCATGGAGATGGCACAGGACTGGGCAAAGTTCCATTCTATCATACATAAGATCACCATGAGTTGAAGTTGAATCAATGGAAACTAATAATAATTTTTTATTTCTCAATGCCCTATACCCTAAAAAAAAAAAAGAAAAAAGATTGCTTAGATTATCATTCAGCCTTTCTCCTCTCGCACCTTTAAATTCCTTCTCAGAAGAAGAGATAGAATCATGGAATATTATTAAGTTAACAGGAAACCTAGAAAGAGGATTGAAAAACTTACAACAAAAATTCACAAGAATCGTAGCATGAAAAAGAACGGTAAACTTCAGCAATAACTTGGAAGCCATACAAAAAAATAAAATTGAAATTCTAAACTTAAAAGTAAATTAACTAAAATTAAAAATTAAAAAATGGGATTAATAGGAGATTAGATACAA